TATGATGTTCTTCAACATGTTTTAATGATTATCATACCTTCCCCTTCACAAAGGATTGATTTATTATGGTTTAAATTTAAAGAATACTAGTTTCCCAGTTTTGAATGGGCTTAGATTACAGAACACATAAAAATCAATGACTTTGTTCCAGGCAAGAAAAACATAGTATTCATTTAAGTGCAAAAAGAATAGTCCTGGGGAAAAATTCCTCATGCAATTCTTCATACTAACCATTTCCATCACTGGCCTCTCCAACCTCTCCTCTTCCCCCAGCACTGTCATCAGCATCATAACACTTTCATGGTACCTTAACATTCACAAACTACTTTGAATATTATTTATTTTAATTCCTGAATTTTTTGTCAAATACTTTTAATTTACAGATAAAATTTTCTGCAGCTCAGAGCAGTGAAGTGCTTGGTTCAAAGTCATGGAATTAAGGACAGGTCTTTTCCTTTCACCAACATTAACTGATAAACTTCTAAGTGTCTATCTCCACTCACATATCTCCTCTCAAGCTCCAGAACCCACATCTAACCAATGGAATTAGTGTCTGCACTTTGCAGACCAAATGTAGTTAAACTCACAGTTTCCAAGCTGAGCCCATAATATTCTCCCATATGCCTGATTTTCTCTTTGTGTCTCCCTACCCCGCCCCCCCCCCCGCAGTGAATGGTATCAGTATCATTATCCTTTTAGTTGTTTAAGCCAAAAATCTAGACATCATTAATCCCCTCAATATGTTTTCTCAACATGCATGTGTATACTCCATTGTCACATCCTGTGGATTCTGCCCTCTGAATATTTTTCAATTGTCTCCACTTCTTGTCTCTACCATGGACACTATAGTCCAAGACACCATCATCTCATATTGAAATCCTTCCTACCTGTACATTCTGCCTTTTCCTCACCACTCCTACTCTATCTATTCTCTGTGCTATAGTCAGAGAAATCAGCTAATTGCTTTGCTTAAAATCTTTTGTTGGCTTCCCAGTTGCTATATTTTGGATGTGGTTTGTCCCTACCAAAACTTGTAGGTATTGAGAGATGGTGGGACCCTGAGAAAGGGATTAATGTAGTTATTGAAGAATTGGGTTAGTTATTGTGAGAATAGGTTGTTATAAAGTATCTGGTTCCCTTTGTCCCCTTTTCTTTTCTGCAAATGTCTATTTGCTCTTCTGCCTTTTCCCATCATGTTATAATGCAGCATCAGGTCCTTACCACATACGGCTATCTACTCTTGAACTTTCCAGTCTCCATAACTGTAAGCTAAATAAACATCTTTTACTTATAAATTACTCAGTCTCAGGTATTCTGTTATAGCAACAGAAAATGTACTAAGACACTAGTGCTCTTTAGAAAAAGATAAGAGTCTTTAGCATGGTCTATAATGGTTAACACAATCTGTCCCTGTCTCTCTAGCCAGATTCCTGCCTTCACACTTTTGCTTTTGTCACCTAGGCTGTCTTTCATCTTGTCCCAGGCATCTAGCTCCCTCCCTTCTTAGATGTTCCATATGTCTGGAATGCTTGTGCCCATCTGCTGTCACCAGCTAAATCTTAATTCATTCTCCGGCTCCAATGTCACTCTCTCAGGAAAGCCTTTCCTGACCTCTAGGTTTATATTGGGTGCATTTCTCCATCATTATAAGTGTGTGTTTGTTTACTTGTTCTGTCTGTTACTTTCCATGGCCTTGTAAGATCTGATAGCTTCGCACTATTGCATCCTCTGGTGTCCAACACAGGGCCTGGCACCTGTAAGACACTCGGTAAATATATGTTGGAGTCATGCTCAGACTTGCCGACTCCCAATTTTTGCATAATGTTTCTACCACTGCCCTATTCTAGGGGGCCCAAGTGCTCAGATAATTAAATGAAAAGGAATCAGTTCTTCTATCTTGGAAACTAAAATTTGGAGATGAAATTCTAAGCCAACATAGCACATTTCAGCACTGTCAAGGTTTATGACTTAATATTGCTAATAGTCAAATATGTAGGAAGCGGTGCTTTGTCTTTCTCCACTAGGGAAAATCTAATGTACAGAAAGGATTACAGTAGAATTTATAAAACTTCATTTTTAACATAATGACAAACCATATATCATTAACCTCCCTGTTATAATGGTGCTTTGGATAGGGGTGTGGGACAGGGAGATGTTAAAGTCTTGAGTTCTCAGCTTGTTAAGAATTATAATGCAAATTTTAAAATTGGTTCTAAAACCATAGAGAACAAAATGCAAAATCTTTTACTTAAAGATTTGGAAGACTTTTTTTTTAAGGGTCATAACTAATGAATGAAGTACTTCTTTACAGGTATAATCTAGCTAATAGAAAATTCATTTGGCAAAATGCTGGTTGACATTTCACTGAATATAATTAGAAAAAACTGGACAGATAGTGAATATAATGAGACATGGGAAGAAGAGATCATTCCCAGACTTTTTGCGCTCTATTCTCTAAAGGTTTTTCTGGGCAGTGGGATCCTGTCTACACTGTGGAAGTTATCAGGATTTTTGGTTGCTGCCAATAAACATGTCTGCTCTGGAAGTCTACTGTGGCAACTTGGAAAAATATATTTTGTCAATGGAAACCTCCATTTTTAGAATTATTTTTCCAAATCAATATCTTACTTCTTAAAATAAAGAACTTATGTTATATATGACCTTAAGTGACTATTTTTTTCCTTCTGGAATTCTGTTTGACTATGGGATCAAATTCAATTCTAGCTCTAAGCCCTTTAGCCATAGAATTTCTGCCTGCTTCCTAGATAAAGTAGTATCACCTAATACAGTGACTCCCTCAAATGCCAACACTTCCTTTTAATATCCATAAAAGCAGAAGAAACCCCAACCCTCCCCAAACTTTTCCTTTCCTTCTTTTTTCTCTTCTTTCCTTCGTCCCTTTATTTCATTTGATTTACATTTACTGAGGAGTCTGCTCTGTGCCAAGCACTATTTTTGTTTTGTTTTGGTACTGCTGGGGATTGAACCCAGGGCCTTGTGCATGCAAGGCAAGCACTCTACCAACTGAGCCATATCTCCAGCCCCCAAGCACTGTTTTAATCTCTGAGAATTAGCAGTAGAAAACCAAAAAACGAACAGACAAAGTCCCTGTTCTTATAAAATTTACATTCTTGTATACCCTTTATAAATGGAAAGGAAGAATGGCTGAGAATAGGGCAAGTTTTGATATTACAAAAAGGAGATAAATATTCGTGAATTTTAAAATCTTCCTTCCTGGTTTGAAGGTTAGAGAAGCAATTGTTTTTAAATATGATGATTTATTCAATATAAAAAAAGACTGATGGCGATTTATTTTTAAAATACTGATCCAAATTAAGAAAAGCCAAATCTGAGGATTTGCACATTTTTTAAAACATGATCTAGAATAAAATATCACATTATTACTAACTAGTGACTTCCAAAATGATGTTTATCTAAACATGATGTTCCGTTTTTCACTGTGTCTGTCAGAGAGTTTCTCTAAGTCTCCTGGAGAAGTCCCTTAAAAATAGGGCAATGTTTTAGTCATCATAGGATATCTTGGGCTTTACCAGAGTGTCTGGTACAGAGAGCACATATATACAGGCGTGTACCACCACACCTGGCTCATTGTCTTAATAAAACTATTCAGTGAAATACAGCATTATGTTCAGATTATTAACAACGTTGGTTTGCAAAAGATAAACAAATTCCTCATAGTTTTAGAATATTCCAATGTTTATAAAAATGACTGGCTTCTGGTTCTTTACTAATAATATAGAACTTTAATACCTTGAGTTTGGATTAATTGTAGGGTGAAGTCTGTATCTGTGGATTTTTTTAAAGTTTGGGGACATGTGATCATATGTACATCTTATCCATATTTCTGAATTTCTTTCTGAGCAGTGGGAATAAATTAATTTTATTGTAATAGCAAATCCACTAAAATACATTCACAAATATATCTAAGTAAGGTACATGAATATTTATCTAATTTATGTAAACAATTTATATAATTCATTTCATTGTATGTAATTTCTTTTTTGGGGGGGACTGAACCCAGGGGCATTTAATCACTGAGCCACATCCCCAGCTCTTTTTTGTATTTTTATTTAGAGACAGGGCCTCACTGAGTTGCTTAGGCTCTCCCTAAATTGCTGAGGCTGGCTTTGAACTTGGGATCCTCCTGCCTCAGCCTCTGTCTCTGGAGCTGCTGGGATTACAGAGGTGTGCCATCATATCTGGCTCTTTGTCTCAAGACTTCAGAGAGTTGGAGAATCAGAGGAATAGACACTTCTTCTCTCATGCTATACAAATTACTTGTCTCAGAGTCTAAAAAGGAGGTTAGCTCCACGGATGTGCGACTTCATGGGAGGGGGGGATTCTGTAACTCTAGATTGAAACACATTCTTTGCTAACTTTATATGGTAGAAATCAGGCAGTTGGCATGTCAGTTACCCTTAAAAGTAATGAAAATAATAATAATTATTATTATTATATTGCACCAGATGCAAATGATTCTAGAAGAGTTTATTTATTGTTAACCTTAATTAACCTATGTAAATTAAAAATATCTAGGCAAAAATGAAAATTTAGACTGACATTTTTTTCTCTATGAGCTCAAAATTTCCTTAGAATATGAAAACTTCTAATTCTTAATAAAGTGATGTGACTGAGAAAGGAATAACATAGTGTGTAGAAATTCCTATTACTGATAAATGGAAAATATTCAGATAGGGTACCTTCTTCAAGAAGATAAATTTTTACATCAGAATTGGGTTCAAGTCTTTGCTTCACTATTTACTCCGAGATCCTGGGAAATATACTTCGTCTTTCTAAACCTTATTTCCTGGATTTGAATGGAATAGCAACACTCAGTACATAAGACTGATTTGGGGGTCAAATTAGATAATGGATATAAATGTTCTGCACAATGACTGGGGTATGATAAAGAACCGACAAATGAAGCTGTTATTAGAGATAGCATCCCTCACCCAGATTTTAATTCATTAAATAGTTACCTTATTGACAGGAATAATGTTTTTGACATTGTAGTAGAAGCCAAAATAAACCATGTTGAAAACTCCATGACGTCCCAAAGTTGCTGTAAATCCTTTGTTGAGGCCCTGGAGTCCCAAGCCTTCCTTCTTAATGATTTGTCTTGCATAACTTAAGGTGGATGGTTGCTACAGGAGAGAAAAGCAAAGCCAGAAAGATCATTTTTGGGACTGTGGAACACAGTAAATTACTGTATTAGCTTCTCTCTAAGCCAGAATTATAAGGATTTTTTTTATCCCAAACATGAATAATCATGCCTAGATCTGTGCTTTTCAAAATTAGAAAACCCCCAAAGCAAACAAAATTGCATGCATAACAACAGGATTTATAGAGAAGATTGTTGGCAAAGAAAAACTATCTTTGGTGGAATTAGTGAAACTAATGTCATGTAATAACTATCACCACTTTCAACATGTAAATAATTGTATCCAATTCTGAAGTATGCACTCTAATGAGGGGGATTAGCCATATAGATAAATAAGTAATCCTCTACACATCATCCAAATGGAATTTATACTTGGCTCCCGAATCCAGCATATTTACCTTTTTAATTATGTTTTCTAAACTAATGTTAAAATTAGTCTCAATCCTATTGCCTCAATAGTTTTAAACTGGTGGTAGGTTAGAAATCGACCATGGATAAATGGCTGTTGATTGGTATATATCCTAAAGAAAATAGGCAATCAGTGCATGTATCACTTGCTGTGATAAATTATAAATCAATGGTGATAGAAGAACTAGGTTACCTTTAATTTATTCTTTTTCAGCTCTCTGATTGATTACCCAAGGCTGAAATAACTACTGGGATCCAATCTGCTACTTTGGGAACTTGCTAAGGAACTTACTGCAATTTGCTCTGAGGTTTAAATTCATGACAATACAATTACAATGACTCATGGGTTTTTTTTAAAACTATGAGTGATTGTTTCCTTTTTTGGAGTTTATACACAAAGGATATCTCGCTCACATTTTGACTAAATATTAAATGGGGGGACATATTCAGTGTTTAATCCCGCCTCCCATGAGGCAAGCAGTGACATGACATTTGTTTGATATTTTACTAGAGCAGGTTGCTGGAGTGGTCACACAGTCTGATGTGATTTCAGTGTGTTTTCTTATCATGGCAATTAAGGCTACATCAGTAGAATAGACAAAACAAATACAATCAAGGCTTTTCATGTAACTTGTATTTATAGTTACATAATTAACATAATACATTTAAATGAGCTTTTTTATATAGTAAATCCTATAGTTTTTACTGATAATTACATGGCTATACTCAACTTCACCTTTTCTTTTAAGAGTATTAATTACAATAAATTACATTAAACTTAAGAAAACTTATCTTTGTAACATGAAAATACCATGTGAGGATATATCTTGAAATAATAAAAGGCATCTCATGTAGGAAAACAAATTCCCAGAAGGTTAAAGTTCACTATTCTATAACATGGGACATTTTCATTTTGGTTCACTATCAATCAAAATGATTTATTTTGGTCTTCATCAGAGAAGAGGACAAATTGAGCAGAAGATCATTTCTCCTGGGAAGGCATTGGCAGTACTGAGCAAACTGCCTAGGAGTGTCTTTCTCTGAAGGCTGTCTGAAGACAGAGAAAGGACAAGAGGTGGCTTTCCTGGGAATAAGAAGAGCAGGGCAGAGGTGAAGTTGCACACCCAAACTGGACCAGTGTAGTGCCTTCTTCACCAACCTAAGTTTTCCATTCTCACACAGCTGAGAACCAGAGGGCAGGAAGGATGGTAAGCTCAGAGGCTACCAAGGTTTTAGAGCAATGGAGGAATCAATGACTTTAATGCATTTGCAGATAATAAGACTTTCCTAAAACAAAAAACAAAACAAAACAAAAAAACTAGAAAGAAAATATCTATTGCAAGAACCCTAGTTTGCTAAGTCATCAGAATTGGGATGACTGAACTAAGTATTAATTTGTGCAGCATCTTTCTTACAATCTTCAGAAAAGAAAACTCCTACAAAATCTTGGTGTCAACAAATATTCAAATGGCATTTATTGATGTCTGTGTCCTAATTTTCACTTGTGTAAGTTCTGGGTGGGTACAAGAAAGTATAACACATGGATTTTAAACTCATGCTCTGTTGAATTTGAGCCCTAGTTGTCAATAAGTAGATCAGAGAGTAACATAGTAATTGGAAATAAGAGCTTAGAGGAGACAGCTCCAGCTTTGAGTCTCCCCCATAACACTTGCTAGCTTTGGCAAGTATTTTATCCTCTCTGACAAAATCCTTATTTCACTAGTTTGTATATAAGGGTAATAAAAAATTCTCAAAATATCACTACATATGTCACTGTATATTTAGCTATTAATAATAGTGGCAATTATGCTGACAATAATAAATCAGTAATAACAAAATCACAGAAAATTTTACTTTTAGTTGAGGCAGTGGCAGTCAAAAGGTGGTGCCTGAGTTGAGGGAGAAGAAGGATATGCTTAATGTTTCTTCCTTCTGTATATGTTTTCCTTTCCCCAGTATCCTAGACCCTTGTGATGAAGTCCATCAGAAATGCATGAGGAATGCAAAATAACACATCTGCTTCCTCTGAGACCCAACCAAATCCAACCTCCAGGTTAGAGATAACCTTTAGTGCATAGAGCCAAGGGTTTGCTTCTTGAAGTTGGCACCTTGGTAAGAGCCCTCTACTTTGGCAAGCCTATGGGCTCTAGAAGCAAGGCCACAAGGGAGCAAAGGTTGGAAATAGAAAAGCACATAAGCCAGGCCTCCGCTGCATGGCTTTGGAGCCTAGAGTGCACTTTCACATATGTTATCAGGTACCTGAAACATGGGAAACGTTCATCAGTGTCACTGTTATCACAGATGCTCCACCCCTGTTTATTGTGTAACTTAATCCTCTCAACAAATGTGTGAGATAGGTATTATTATCCTCATTTGACACATGAAGAAACTAAGGCTGAAAAGTCAAGTTATTTGCCCAAGGACACAGAGTACATGAGTAGAGCCAGAGCTCAAACTGGGCTCTTGAACTACAAGTCTATGCTTTTATACTCTGCTTGGTTCTGTCATACTGACATATGTGATTGCTTCTTTCAACAACCCTGTAAGGTGGGCAGTAGGTACTGTATATTCTAATTGTTTGTGTTAGGAAACAAAGGATAGTTAAGCAATGTTCCCAGGTAAAATGCTGCTGATAAATGGCAGATTCTGCATCTAATCAAGTGTTCTTTTCACACTCATTTTTTGTTATATACAGGTGACAAGATTTTCAGAGTTTGATAATCAATCGAAAGAGCTAACAGATACACTATAGTACAAATGTATTTTTTTGGCAAGTTGGGGCCTTGGGATAAAGAAAAACTTCAAAAATTAGAAGTAAAAGTATCATGTGTGTTTTTTGCTTAATTCAGGGACATTGTATCACACACATGTAAGCAAATATTCAATTAGAAAGGCAAAACATGACTTCCACTAGGATGCTTAAACAGGAAAATATAGAATCATTTTGACTAGTTCTCTGTAAACACAAGAAATTTTACTAAACTTATTTGATTACTGGGCTTCCATTTCAAAATAAAATGGTGGCTGATTACCATCATCAGCCAAATGATTCCAATACTATCCAACCCAGCAGGTCGTCCATCGGTTCAATTTCCCTGTGTTAGTTAGATTCACTCTGATTTTCATATTTAGTTACCAGTTGTGGGCCAAATTGCATTATAACTTTCCTAGCTCTACCTTTCATTGACTTCATCAGAGCTGCAAGCATGGAAGAGTAAAAGGATTGGGATGTAGCTAATGTTGTGATAGCACACTGATTTTGACATTGGTTTTTAGGAATCTTCAGTTCACTGGTAATTTTTAGAAGCATTTTCATTGGAAGTAACTCAAAATCTTATTTAACTCTGATTTCAGCTATTGCCAACTGGTAATGCTGGACACTCTGTGTTCTTTCCTGCATTATTAAGTGCCTCTACATGCCATGGACTGTGCTAAACATCTAGCACAGTGCTTTGCTTATATTCTATAGATTTGAACATTTTTTGCTTTAGTTTTTATTTGGAGATGTATGCTGATAATTTTTTATGTACCTGTGACAGTATTCCACAATGGTTAAGGAATATGTAATCAAATTTCTGTTTAAAAAGTCCTTAAGAGGTTTAATTTTAAAAGAATATCTTACACGAATTAGACCAAACACAGAATAAAAAGGAAAATATCATGTGATCTAACTTATATGAAATCTTTTTTTAAAAGGTCATATAAAATATACAGAGATAGAGAATAAAATAGTGTTTACAAGGGCAGTGTTGGAGGTAGAGAAGGAGGAGGAAATGGGGAGATATAGGTCAAAGAATATAAAGTATCTAAGGATTCAAAGTACCAGATATATAGGATGAGTAAGTCCATCATGAGAATCATAGTTAGTAAAATCAGATTGTGTTAGAATTTTGGTTAAATAAGTATATTTTAGCTGTTTTCACACAAAAAAGTAACCCAGATGATAGATGTTAATCTGTCTCAGTATAGTAACCATTTTACTATCTATATGTATCCTATAGCATCATTTGTAAATCCCAAATAAACACAATAAAATTTATTTAAAAAATTAATTTTAAAAGATACAAACACACAAGAACACACACACAAAGAAAAAAAGGAAAAGGAAGAAAAGATTCTTTGTAAACAATGCTCCTAGGCACCACTCTGGGGCACTGACTCCTCACTCTCCAAGATCCTAGTATTACTTACAAATCACTGAGATGACTTATGGCAGCCTGAGTTATTTTTTCTGGCATTCTTCCATCCAACTACTGACCATTGCTGGCTCTGATTAGCTTGTGTGATCATGGACAGAGGTTTTAGGCAGTGGGCATTGTTCCCTGGGTAAATAGCTATCAGAATATGGTCAATAGGTACAGGCGTGGGGTGTGTCAGTGGATTTCCTCCCTCTCTAAGGCCAGGGAAGAGTTCTAGGCACACCATGTCAAGAGACAGCACGCTCCACATGTGTTCCTTTACTTACTTTCTAAAGCAAGGCTAACTCTGTTGCATTTTATTGCCAAGAGAATGAGGGTGTTGCACTGGATTTCATCACGTGGCTGGAAATCAAACCGGATGAGACCTTTACACAAT